CCAGCCAGCTTCTGAGCACTTTGTACTGGGGCTGCAGGGGCCACTGGGACCACCACAGCCTGGCAGAGAGATGTCCCTGAGGTCATGCTGCCCCGAGTAGGGCTGGCCAGAGCTCCCCAGTGTCAGGACCTTGCCATCATTGGCATGAAACTGGGAGGCAGTGGGTTTCTGGGAGCTCTCATGGCTTTAAGGCCAGTCCCAAAAACCCTGCTGAGAGTTGAGGCACCCAAAAATAGCTGGGGGGTGGTGAGGGGATCCCAATGGCCCTGCTGCACCACTTGGTGGAACCAGGGCCGCTTCCCAGAGAAGGGGGATTTGTTCCATCTCCTGTGGGCTGAAGCGATGCTCTCAGGGCAAGATGCTGGCCCGAGAAGCTCCTGCCAGATGTGGTGCCAGACCACTGCGGCGTAAACAGAGCTAAAACTGGCTGGAAGGAAACAAACAGAAAACCCCAAAACCCCAGAACAAAACAAACCTGAAGAAAACATCTCGCCTTCCCTCTCTGCTTGCGTCAATGATGGTCCCCTACTGTGGTGGAGCGGAAGGTGATGCTCGCCCTGCCTGTGCTGCTCCTGAGTACCCCCCACACAGGGGCTGCCACTGCCAGGGTACAGGGACTGTCTTCCTGGTGCCCAGATGGGCAGTGCCAGCCCTGAGGCTGGGGGAGGATGAGAGCACCCCAGGCTCCTGCTGCAGTGGGGGATGGCATCTATGGGGCAGGTTGAGGCTGGTGCCAGGGCATGGGCACACATGGAGGGGCTTTAAGCTGACCCTGTGCCCACACAGGGACCGCTGGGGATGGGTGGCCCCGCAGTGTGTCCTTGTGACAGCAGTGCTGGGGCAACCTTGCCCACCTGGGTGCCCCTTCTCCACCACATTCACAGAGTGACACCCACTCACGGGGATGCTCACCTCACCTGGGTCCCTGAGAGTGCCTTGGGGCTGTGTCTCGTGTCTCTGTAGGGCTCTTGGGGGACCCTCCTGCCCTGGACCCCCTCACAGGTGTCTGTGTTGTCCCACAGGCTGCGGTGACCTATGGGCAGGCAGACCTCCAGCAGCACTGCCTGGCATTCATCGAGGGCTGCACCACGGTATGGCTACAGGCAGTGGGGGAGCATGGCATGGGGTACTCCAAGGCATGGGCAGCACCGGGGACATGTGGCATGGAGAGCACTGCGGGACACAGCATGGGGCAGGGGAGTGGAGACCATAAGAATGGAGTGGCTGGAGGCTGGGGCAGGAGGAAAGGGGGTAAATGGTGTTTGGGGAGAAGATGCTGGGTGCCAGGTAGAGACTGGCTGGGGGGAGTACAGGGATGCCAGGGTATCGGGGTCAGGGCAGGGGGATGCTGGAGTGCCAGGCAGGGATGGTGCCAGGATGTGTCCAATGACCCATGGAGTGGGGCGGGGTCCCAGTACCAGCACTCTGGTGCTGTTTTTTTTTGCGGACGCAGGGCTTCCATGAGCTCTCCGATGCGGTGCTGGCACGGGTGCTGCGCAGCGACCGCCTGACTGTGGACGAGCTGGACCTGGTGCAGGCTGTGCGGGAGTGGGCACACGTCAGCTCGGTGAGTGCAACGCAGCAGTGATGGGGAGGTGGTCCCAGCTGGCACCCCCAGGCAGAGCCACACAGGTGTTCCCAGACTCCCACCAGCCCAGGCAGGGAACCCAGGTGCCCTGTCCCTGAGCCCAGGGCTGTGTG